CGACTCCGGTGTTTGTGCGTTAGCGTTATAGCAGAACAACGTGTCATCAGTCAGATGTAGCTCCTGAAGCCATTTGTTTATCTCTGGGACACGGCGACCAGAACGGATACCAGATTACCGGAGAAGTTCAACCGAACTCTGACCTCGCTAGCTGGATATCACTACCGGAGGTGCAGACACGCTTTTGACTCAGAAGACCCGATTTGGACATTGAGGAGGATTCTGTTCATCTTCAGAACCAAAGCTGGTTCAGTTTGTTAACTTTAGTTAAATATTTCATCTCTGTGCTCCACCAGGAGCTCTCAGCTGACTGCAGGTCTCAGCTCCATCATGTGTCCCGATATAATTCTGTAATCTACAGATAAATAAATAAAGGGCTCCATGTATGTGTTGACATAACTCTGGTAACATTTAACCAATAATTTACCAGAATAAACCTTCCTGATGCTGGAGTAACTCGCTAGCTCGGTTCATTTGCACTGATCCAGGATGGCACGGAGCTTCTACCGGTCCCAGGAGGACCTATTGCTGAAATATGGGGATTGTCTTTTGGGGTGTGTGTGTGTGTGTGTGTGTGTGGTAGCTTTCCTAAATGACTTGTTTTTTCCTTACCAGAGCTAAGACGGTTAGCAGTCATGCTAACGGGACTCTGGTCCAGGAGTAGCGGTGCGGTTCCAGATGGATTTATAGATGTAGGTTAATATTTTAGATCAGACCTGTTATTTAGAATGCGTGTCGGACACGGACATGCGGCCCAGACCTTTTGCTGCAGCTGTAAACTCACTTTTCTGTAATAATTAAGAGCACGACAGTAAACAAAACACAGTCATTCACAACACAGCAGCTAGCTTGTTATATGTGTTGGAGCGGCGTACGCAGAACACAGTTCTTCACTGTCTGGAGAGGATTTGGGTTTCTGTAATAATTTATGACAAAAGTCCTTAAATAAACCCAGGTCATGTTTATAGAGGTGGTGAAGTCTAGTTATGCTGCTTTTCTACACGTTAATGCCGAGTCTAGACACTACCTTTAACAACTAGATGTTTTAAATGAAGGGTTTTCTGTTATTGTTTGTCCCTCATGATTTTGAAGCTTCGTAGGTCAACATTATTCTCAAAGCAATGCTTTTAATGTTTGACTCACATAAAATACACGGTAATGCATTTGGTCCAGTGCCTTCTAATGTTCTACAACCGCCCAAGGCACCTTACAACACAACTGGTCATTCACACACACACGCTGTCTGCCACCTGTCCTGAACAGTGGAAACTGGGATTCATCCGTCAACAGAACACCTCTCCAACGCGTCAGACGTGCCCTGAAGTCGGTTACACCAGTCAGGTCTTTGGGTTGGGGTTGTGAAAATGGAGCAGGGACAGAAGCGTTGTAGGTAATAAAATGATAACAAGGTTAAGTGTTTCAGTCGTCTTTTACCACATCTAAAAACATCCTGAACACATTCGCTTATTTCAGAAAGTTTACTTTTTCTGTGACAATAAGCTCCGCCTCTTTGGTGGAACTTCCTATAGTACCTCCACCACCATGAGAAGATTTTCCAGATTCAGCCCTCCATCATCTGTCGTCTCCCCTCTCCTCCCTTCGTCCATCATCCTCCCATCCCACACTACTCTGCCTCTCTCCTGAGATGTGGCCTGACAGTCAGGCTACTGGGCACCAGAGCCCACGGTGCCAAAGCCATCACATCAGAGCGTGTGTGACCACCTGAGCGACCGGCCGCAGTAATCACTGATGTGGTCCGAGGAGGCGCTGGATGGCAGGTCTGGGGGATTCTGGGTCAGGCCTGGAGGTCTGACGAAGATGAGGTGAGACACCATCTCAGGGCCTCTTGTGTGCTTGCTGGTCAGCTGACCGGTGTGTGTGTGTGTGTGTGTGTGGGGGGGGATCGGGTCTGATCCGAGCTGATTTTGTCGACTCTCGGGTCTCACAGTGGTGTTTGATGACAGGCCATCAAACCAAAACCAGGACAAACATGGAGGAGAGAGGTAAGTCACTGTGTGTGTGTGTGTGTGTGTGTGTGTGTGGTTTCTTGACACGGCTGAAGCAGATTATTTTCAGAATTAGGTTTTCTGTCTAAATTAAATTAGACGTATTTCAGGAGGAGTTCACAACACTTCCCTGAACCGGAGGACTCCAACGTGCTTTACCGCACGTTCACACACTGATGGTGATGAACTACGTTGTAGCCACAGCTCAGCTGCCCTGGGCAGTCAGAAGCACCACCAGCAGGTAAAGCGCTTGCCCAAGGACACAGGCGACAGACAGCCTGGGTTTTAACTGGCAACCTCCCAAATAACAAGCAAACACCAGACCCGAGTTAAAGAGCAAGTCAACCCCTACCAGAGTCTAACTCCACTCCCGCTTCATGTTTGAAAAATGCAACAAATGCTGCTGCCTGGCAGACCGAGAGGGCGGAGCCGCTAACAAATACACACACAGGCTCACGACAGCATTGTGACATCATAATGTACCAGTTTACATCATAGCATACTTCTTAGCCAATAGCGATGGCAGATTTAAATTAAAATACAGTGCAGAGTTTTTACCTGACAACGGCACGACACTGCCAGTTTTAGGCAGAATATTTAAATTTTAACTAAGATGCACTGAAGTGCCAAATTATTGACGACATGTGTCTGCAGCACGATTAGGCACTCGTTTATTTAGTTTATCAGCAAAAAAAAAGTTTATTTGGGGGTGACTTGCTCTTTAAAAACATGCAGAAGGTAGATCAACCATCCCTGACAGACATGTTTCTACCCTTACATCCCTCACTGCATCATGTAAATAAACTTCATGACGATGACCGCGTCATATTGCTGTTTCCTCATGGAAGACAGCCTGTGTCTTTCTTTTTTGGCTCCACGCATTCATTTTCCTGTCTCAGCTGCTTTTGTTCTTCAGCACCACTGCAGAAGCCTGGATGGGCATGGTGGCATCATCATGCTACGCTCCTCCCCTTCCAGGTAGTCTAGTCCAGATCCTCCCTCGGACTGTAAACACTAACACCCAGTCTCTCTGTGTAGCTAAAGGGAGTTTCATCTAGAACCCAAACATGGGTTCTTGCCTGAGAGGAGCAGCAGCCCTGTCCGGTCATCCTGAAGAAGAGGTGAATCCGCACAAACCGTTGGATTTTATATTCAGCTCTCAGACACGGAGCCAGAATGTGACCGTTATTTTAGAGTCTGCTAAAACTTGATGTGGCTTCATCTTCTCTGTGCCTAACGATGTCATCATAGTCATCATCACACACTTGTGAAATTCATCTCCACATGGAGGGGGGCAGTGAGCTGCAGCATTGGCTGCTCTCGGTAAGTCTTGGGTAGGGTGTGTGACCGGTACGACGCCCGCATCGCTGCAGATGCAGCACCAATCCACCCATCGATCTCACGCTCCAGCTTTCCCTCACTCGTGAACAAGACCCCTCTCCACCACACCTCTCCAGGTCTCACTGTCGTTGCCCACGTTAGCGTTAAAGTCCCCCAGGGGAACGAGGGAGTCACCAGATGGAGCACCTCCTCCAAGGTCTCCAAAAAGGGTGGGTAGTCTGGTGCATAAGCACAGACAACAGTCAGCATCCCCCCCCCCCCCCCCCCGCACATAGGAGGGAGGCTACCCTCTCGTTCACCGGGGTAAACCCAATGTCCAAGAACCAAGGTGGGGGCAACTAGTATGCCCACCCCTGCATGGCACCTCTTAGTGGGAGCAACTCCAGAGTGGTAGAAGAAACTGGTTCCAGAGACAGAGCCATGCGTCGAGGTGAGTCCGGCCCTTTGGCCCCTCATACAAGTGGTGAGCCAATGGGAAGGGGGCCCCACATTTCCTCTTCAGGCTGTGCCCGGCCGGGCTCCTTGGGTGAAAGCCCGGCCACCAGGCCCTCGCTGGCGTGCCCCACCTCCAGAGGGGGGCTCCAGTGACTCGCGTCCAGGCGAGGGAACACCGTGTCCATTTACATAATTCATCATGAGGTCTTTGGCCTGCTCTGAGTCTGACCCCTCACCTAGGACCTGTTTGCCTTGGGTGACCCTACCAGAGGCAGAAAGCCTCGGACAGCACAGCTCCTAGGATCGTTGGGACACTCAAACCCCTCCACCACGGTGAGGTGGCAGCCCAGGGAGGGCTCATTCCTCCAGTAGTGACGGGGACGGTATTTGTGGTTAAAAGTCTGGAACGAGCGTCATAAAACCTCGTATGTAAATGTTGGGCATAAATGTCATAAAACCATGAACCTAGCGCGTCACGGGAACGTCGGGGGTCATCGAGGCACAAACTACTTAGTTTATATAAAACAAGGAAACGCTGCTCGTCCCCGGGCCTCCGTCCCCTAACGAATGAGTCTCTCTGCTGGGCAGGTGGTGGGACCTCGTCCACCTGCTGCTGAAGGGTGAGCCCCTCCCCCTCCTCCACCAGCTCCCCACATCCATTTGCAAATGATCTGGCTTGTCTGCATATTGTCACTTGCAGCCGGCTCGGCCATTCATCACCTGTCAGCGACGCGAAGCGCCCTCCACACTTAATTGTTCGCTCTCTGACCTGCAGAATAGAGAGTGATGTTCCCGCTCCGAGAGGAGGAAGGGAGGCAGAAAGGCGGCCAGCCTCGCACCATTCTTCTGTTTCTAGGTCACGTCAGAGGAGGAAGGAGACATGAGAGGTGGGAACGACGAGCCATCCGGGCCGGATCTGGTTCGACCCACACCTCAGAAGGCCTTCATCTCTAAGCTCAGGATGTCGTGACTTTACTAGAACCTGAAGCGTCTGACGACCTCCAGCATAGGTACGGTTCTGCTGGACTACAAACATGTCTGCAGTCCAGGAGGTCACTGATCCCAGGTCAGCGGACATTCCCGGCTGAGTTATAATCTGGTCTTCGCCTTCACCAGGCACGGATTATTACAGGATCTAACCCTAACCCTGCATCTGCGGGGGCGGGTGGTGACCCGGGGGGTTACAGAACACACACACACACACACACACACACACGGTGAGAAAGGGATGATGTTTATTCTCTGACTGCATCAGAACCGGTTCAGAAGGACAGATCAGGACAGGTTCCACAGCCTCCACAAGGGATCTTACCAGATGTTTGGGAAGCTAGCGCTGGGACCGGGTCCGGTTCGGATGTTTAAACCTGTTCTGAACCGGTCCAGAGGAGTCGGATCGAGTCCTTGAGCCGTGTTAAACGGCTCCGACACATCTTTGAACATTTAGGGTGGAAACAGTTTCTTCCCAGAGGAGAAAGCACGGGGTGGTGTTTTCCTAAAGTCCTGCTCCAGAAGGGAAAACCTGACGACATTCCTTATTCCCACTGAGTCCTAGTATGGCTTTATGAGCAGAGACCGGCCCGGTTTACGATACATTCACCCGATACTTCATCAGCGCGTCCTGCTCGTCGCCAGCGGAGACGGATTCATCCGACTCCATGAACTCAGGGAGGCAGCAGGAAGAGAACTCAGAACGGACCGGACACGGAGCGGTCCAGCTTCACCCGAACACCGACTCCCGCTGAAACTTTCCGAGGCGTTCCTGTCGGACAGGATGAATCAGAGCTCCTCTGGTGAAGAACATCTACAGAAAGCCACGCTGGATCATCCCACACTTCCTTCCTTCAGCTTCCATCTAGGAGAAAACATTAAATAACGGGCAGGAGCGGCGGCAGGAAGTGGATCGTTCATTCCTGCTTCTCTTTGGGATGCGCTTCAGTTCGTTCAGCAGACTCCATCTGGTCCTCCTGCTCTGAACCTGCATCCTGTCTGCTGACGGCGTCTCCACCAGGCTCCGCCCCCATCCCACAGGATGCCTTCTCTCCATTCAGGAGATACTCCTCAGCCTGGACCCCCCCACTCTCCTCCTCTTCCTCCAGCCTCCCCAGGAGAATGGGAAGTTTGGCATCCGTGTCATTTTCCAGGAAAGAAATGTCGCTTTCCTGAAACCGAGGCAGCGCGGCGCCGTCCTCCAGTTTCTTCTGAAAGTAGAGACGTTTGTCCGCGCCGCTGGTCGACGCCTTCTCCAGGATCTGCTTCTCCGCCAGACGGAGCTGGATGGCCAGACGTGAGTGGAGGGAAAGATCCGGCTTCTCCAACAGAGAGCGGTCCTCCTGGAAGGAAGAGAATGATTTTCTAAGAAATCATGAAACATGACGGAGTTCCAGCTGAACCCTGGTTTTCTCTCCGGACCGACCCGGGACCAGCTCCGTTTGAATGTAAGGTCTCCTTCAGGCCAACATCACCAGGTCGGTGCCGGACAGGAAGCTAGAGCTGGGTTCATGTTCCCGGTTACTAACCCTAACTCACCTCAGACGTGGTTCTGTATGTCTTCAGCAGAAGAGCAGCTCGGTTCTCCAGGAAGGTCCACAGCTTGATCTCGTTCTCCCAGCTGACAGGAAACTCGCCGTTGCCCAGGGTGAAGATCTTGTTGATGGTGTGATCGCCCAACAGATAATCCTTCAGTTCCTCTGGAAACACACAGACCCAAAGGTTGATCCGACTCCAGTTCAGAGAAAAGATTCTGTTCTACCAGGTGAGCTGAAGATCCAGCATCCAGAACCAAGTGTGGACCGTCCAACAGAACCGTCAGCATCACCAACATCGTTAGTTTCAGCTTCTACAAATAAAAACTTCACATCTGTGGTCCCTTTTTCTGTCTGCAGATGTTTTATGTGTGGTCAAGGCTTGTGTTGTCCGCCCCGGACCGGATTACACCCGCCCCGGACCGGTTTACACCCGCCCCGGACCGGTTTACACCCGCCCCGGACCGGTTTACACCCGCCCCGGACCCGCCCCGGACCGGTTTACGCCCGCGCCCCGGACCGGTTTACGCCCGCGCCCCGGACCGGTTTACGCCCCGCGCCGGACCGGTTTACAGCCGCGCCGGACCGGTTTACACCCGCCCCGGACCGGTTTACACCCGCCCCGGACCCGCCCCGGACCGGTTTACGCCCGCGCCCCGGACCGGTTTACGCCCGCGCCCCGGACCGGTTTACACCCGCGCCGGACCGGTTTACACCCGCGCCGGACCGGATTACACCCGCCCCGGACCGGTTTACACCCGCCCCGGACCGGTTTACACCCGCCCCGGACCGGTTTACACCCGCCCCGGACCCGCCCCGGACCGGTTTACGCCCGCGCCCCGGACCGGTTTACGCCCGCGCCGGACCGGTTTACAGCCGCGCCGGACCGGTTTACACCCGCCCCGGACCCGCCCCGGACCGGTTTACGCCCGCGCCCCGGACCGGTTTACGCCCGCGCCCCGGACCGGTTTACGCCCCGCGCCGGACCGGTTTACAGCCGCGCCGGACCGGTTTACACCCGCGCCGGACCGGTTTACACCCGCCCCGGACCGGTTTACACCCGCCCCGGACCCGCCCCGGACCGGTTTACGCCCGCGCCCCGGACCGGTTTACGCCCGCGCCCCGGACCGGTTTACACCCGCGCCGGACCGGTTTACACCCGCGCCGGACCGGATTACACCCGCCCCGGACCGGTT